GTTTTGGAAGACAGTTAGACAAGCTGGTTTGGATAGCTTGTCATAATTTAACCGTCGTTGCATCAGCGAATAGTCAAAGACTATTTCACCTGATACGCAGCACCGGAGGTCGTCCCATACCGGTCAGTAAGATCATTTGCGATAAAAGTAGACAAAGCATCTACAATAAAGAACAACGACTTGATCGCTGGGCAGAGTATTTTAGTGAACAGTTCAATTGGCCTAGTGCTACTGTGGTCATTCCAGCAATTGCGGCCGAAACTCCATGGGTGGTAACATGCGAACTCCCATCAGAATCGGAAGTACGAAGCTACATTCCATCAATAAAGAAAGGAAAGGCTGCGGGACCTGATGGGCTTTTCCCTATTCTTTTCAAGGTGGGCGGAGATTCTCTTGTCGACTCAATTACTAGCTTACTTCGCAGCATTTGGGCGGGGGAGCGTATCCCTTTGTCCTGGGGTGAGTCGATGATCATCCCTATTTTCAAGAAGGGATCACGCGACGACTGCGCTAACCACCGTGCTTTATCACTTGATTTGTGTACATTGTGAGCTTGGCAGTGATCAGTGAAGCTCACTTCACTGTATCTCGCTGTACGATGATGATGATGATGATTTAGTCTACATAAATGCACTGTCTTCCGCTTGAATCTGCTCTCAGCATTCTAATCTTTATTCTGCTCTTTTATCCAAATGGGCAACCAAAACTGGCGTGCGAAAGTGCATGATTAATGGTTGTAAGAACTGAACTGATCTCTAGTTTTGTTAACCGTAACAGTCCAGTTTTCAATCGCTACTGTTTTTCTCCTTTAATGCGCATAAATCTTGAGATTAGCAACACTCGTCGAAGTCGATTGCGTTGGCGTTTAGGTAGGAAAGAAAAAAATTATTGCAAATCCACACTAAATGTTTACTCTTGAATTATTTTTCTAGAGAATAGCATTATTGCGGATGCCCAACCATCCGTTTTAGTTTAATCTGAAGCGATGACTCACACAAGATCTGAGTAGATTCAATATTAGTGCTAGTTTTACAACCGGGGTGTTTTTATTGCAGTCTGACGTTTTAGCAGTTCAGAGCGTTTGTTAGTATATTTAGTTTCAAAGCGATGTTGCTGTTTTACTTTCTTTGGCTTGTTGGACATGTGATGCAGTTCATTCTAAGAATAGGTTTGTCTGACGTGGAACATGCATAAATTGGGTACTGATGGTGGGATCGTAACTTGATTTCTATTTAATTATGACTAACCGGCAATCATTTCCCAAAAGAAAATTGCGGACAAACTTCTCCATCTCTCTCTCCATAGCCCACTGATTTCGAAAATTAGCTGTAAAAATGTTCTATTCTTTTCATTTTCAGGCCTCTAATGGTCCTTGCGGTCTCTCCGGAGCGTTAAACGAGAAGGCACAACCCCCGCCACCGGAATTTATCGCGCATCGAAATAAGCTATGGGCCAAACTGCGGAAAGAGTATGAGGAGTTCGTGGCAGCTCAGCCACGAGCTCCGATTCAGATAACACTTCCGGATGGTACAATTATCGATGGCAAAGCCTGGGAAACTACGCCCATGGAAGTCGCCAAATCCATCAAGTGAGTCGTTGCTTGATTGAGGTGTTTGGAGCTATTCAAATTACTTTTTATTTTATTTTTAAGATGACGTTCTTCATGATTTAGTGGTAGACAGCTTCATTATCACTCAACCTTGCTTCATGCTTCTTCTATTTGAACCCCCATATGATTCATCAATCTGAGTCTCGTGACTTGAATTATCGTTTCCCATAGTGGAATGTTTGGTTCGTGTAACTATGGAATTTAGCCCCTTTTATTGCTCATGCAAGAACATTTATCTGTTCTCTTTAATTGTCACACTTTTTTTAAGGTTCGTTCTTTAATAGGCATTTAAACACTCGTTTCTAGGTTGGTTTCGCTCTCGAACAAAACGAAACTAAATTCATGTTTCAACAATAAAGGCCGAAATACTTTCCGGAGTCCAATTGTACCAGGGGTTGTCGTGCATTGTCAAGTGCATAAAGCATATATTTGACTTGACTTAAAGTGCGGTTTCTTGTTGTTGTTGAATGCGATAAAGCTTTGAATGTCGAATACTCGCATAAAGTGAATACATTGAGAAGACTGTAAACTATATAATTTGAAGAGATGCTGTATATTGGAGTGGAAAGAACACTCGCAATAAAATCAGCATGTTGATTCCTTGTTTACGGATGAGAATGTTGCAGGTCCCAGAGACGGAAAAATGTTTTTCACTTTTCAGATTGACATTCACAAGTGGCGATAACTGGGGAAGATGCAAGTTGAATCAAACAGAATGCAAAGTGGTCTCGGTAGAATAGGGCTAAGGAAGCGATTGTTCAGCAGTGAGCCAGTGAATGCAAGTTACGTTTAATAACCTTACGTTGAACGAGATCAAGCGTAGATTAAAAAGTGGACTGCAGTATTTCCATGTAAGACGATTCTGGGCTTTCTGAAGTGACAGTTTTGCAGAACGGATTCAGGTTAGTATGCTTCGCTGGTTAAAACACGTATTGCGTTTGCCCAGCTGTTTTCTGCTTCCCGCGCCTTATTCGCTGTAGCCGCCCCGGACTGAAGGAAACCACGTGGAAGTTATCAAATGGCTTGAAGACGAGGCACGAGGAGATGCATGAGGCTATGCCGTAGAGTAGGTGTGAGAGTAGGTGTCTCTCACCTCTCAGGTTGGGGTTCAAAAGATTCTACAACTGTCGTTTATAAACTGAAGGATATGCCAGCGAACCGACAACGGTGGCGTTCTTCTTGTCATTTATTATTGATATATGGAAATGGCAATAAGGTTCAATATGAACTACAGTAGTAAGTGAGAATGAGAAACTATTGACGCAGGTTGCAGATTTAAACGAGTTACTTTTCAAAGTGCTATTGCAAATTACCTGTTATATCTTGCTGCGTAGCTGACTTCGATGGGAAGCGGTTAGACAGGAGCTATAAATGGACGGGTTTTGAATAGTGAAGAGTTGGTCTCGGGATATTCGTCCGTGTTGATACGTTGGTTAGCTTCTTCCGAATGATCGATTTACCTTTGGGGCAAGATGTCTCAGAGCAACGGTTTCCTCTTTTCCACCAGGAAAGTGGGTATAAGCGCACTGAGGGTTGCAGCTCAAGAGTTCTGCCTCTTCCAACGACGGATCATATTTCGAGGACCGTGTCATGTTTTCTGGTTTAACTGAACCTGGATTTGAGAACCATGTTGGAAGGGATATATCAGTGTTGGGCCTGCGGTTGCACTTAAAGAATCGGTCATGAGGTGTCTCATTGGTGGTGGTATGCAGCAATAAAAGGATAGAATCCTGGGCATGCAGGAGTACTCTTTCCCATTGGAATATGTCTAGCTGTTTTGAACTCAGCATCAATGTGATAACTTTCCATAGAGTTCGGGTCAGTCGCTCCACCTGTCCGTTACTGCACGGACTATATGGGGTCGTTCGACTGATGGCGATTCCTTTGTCGAGGAAGAAGTTTTAAAACTCGTCAGACATGGGGAAAACCCCGCGATCGGAATGAATATATGAAGGTAACTCAAATAGCCCAAATGATGAAGACGTTTGATGACAGTAGGGGTCTGAACAGTCGAAAGAAAAGGGGAGGAGTAAATGTTCGTCTATCATGGTCAAGATATATTTATTATGGGATGTAGATGGGAGTGAACCACTAAAATTAATATTGATTTTTCAAATTGCTGTGTTGCTTTAACGAGTTTTCCGGAATATTCTTCAAGAAGGCTTGGCGTAAGTTTTTCACACGTTTCACACTGACTACTGACGACTTTGATGCCGTCGACTAAGAATGGTAATACTGGGGTGACAGAGTGTGCTGTATAAATGTCAGTGCATGACATAGAGAGCCAGTGGTTCCGAGAGAGTGTATCAGCAACTTTATTCTGATCGCCGAGACGCTACCGAATGATAACGCCAGAGTTCCTATTCTCACCTTTTGGGTTTTGTCGTTTTTCACTTTTCCTTTTTGTTGTTTATCCCACACACGTAAGTGTCACTGAACACTGATCAGTGTCAACAGTCCAATGATTGCTAAGTAAGCAATGTCTCCATTTTCTTAGAGATGTGACAATGGTACAAGCTTTTTTGATGACTTTTGGCGGTGGAATGTATCACATAGCATTTATTCAGGCGGCAGGAAATATCCAGAGTTCAAGGAGTAGGTGTGGTAAGCGATGATAGAGATAGGTTGTCCTTTAGGCAAGCAGTTTGGCAACGATGGAGGGTATCAACTCAGATCTAGTGATGAAAATTTGTATTTTCCCAGTGGGCATGAGTAAGATGATAAGGTTTCCTGGCTCCGAAATCCTCAACTCTATGTGCAGGTTTGAGTAGTCCTCATTTCGGGTTTCTAGTGAAGGGAGAGGCTGAATTTTGGTGCTTCTCCATGGACTGTATGTGAAATGAGAAAACTACTCAATAAAACTGAATTTGACATTGGTGAGAATTCTCCCTTCTATCGGTGTAGCGATTTTGGTAACTAATTTACGACACGACTGCTCACTGAAAGTTGCGCATCATCGATTGAGCACTCTTCACAAATCCTCTCACTTTGTCGATTATGAAAAATGTTCTTTTCTTCTCTCACAGTAAAAATCTAGCGGATTGTGCAGTCATCGCCCGGGTAAATGGCGAGTTGTGGGATTTACTTCGACCTTTCGAAAAGAGTGCCACTTTGGAGGTGCTAAATTTCGATCACAAAGATGGTGAGAACATCAATTTCTTTTTTAAATTTCATTGCCTAAAAATGATGTTCCATATCTGAGATTGTATTCATCGCCTAATTTCCAAATTTTGCCAGCTGTGCATGCTCGAGTCGTTTTAACTAACTGGCGATTGGGGATGTGTCTATCGTACCATTTCTGTAAGTATTAGCAAGTCTCGAAGAACCGTTGCGATGATTCTGTATCAGGTGTTGTGTGTTAGATGCATCTAACCGCGATCAACTCGACACTAAACTCGCTGAAAATCGGCCTTAGCGCGGAGCCTTTTTCATGTCTTTGGATCATATTTTACCTGATTTATGTAAATGTGTGTGGTAAAATTGAGCTTTCTCCGACCGTAGGTCAGTACGTGTTCTGGCATTCGTCCGCCCACGTCCTTGGTGAAGCTATGGAACTCACATTTGGCGGACATCTGTGCTATGGACCACCAGTTGAGGAAGGATTTTACTACGATATGTGGTTGAAGTGAGTATAATTTTTCTTTTCTAGTGTTATCATGTTTTCGGTGTTTGTTTTTCAAATAATTGCACGCTACACTGCATCAATTACCAGTCTGCTACCACCGAACGGACTGTCAAAAGCGTCAGGGTAACACGCATATACTGAGACTAGTTGGACGTTTGAACGCTTCTGGTTAGCTATTGTGAGTTGTGTTTAGTTGATACTACTACTAATGCGTCGTACTTTACGCGGTAAACTATAGAGAATAAGCCAATTTGATATACCTTTTTAGGATGATGTGTTAATTATGGAGGTCAAATTTACCGTTGATCACGGTTCAGTGCACGATTGTACTGGGCAACACTAGACGGTCTTCCTGTGGTGGTGGTGGTGGCGCAGTGGTTTAGTCGCTGTCATCGGTGGACTTTGGACCCTATGATTCGAGGTTCGCGCTCCGCCACCCAACTTTAGTGGTAGGCTGCTTTGCTGTCGTCCGGTTCAGTACCACGCCTAACCTAACGCGGTCTTGTGTGGTTTACCACTCCAAGTCCCGGGGCTTAGGTTGTCGGTTTCCACCACTAAACAACAGGTCCTCGTGACTATGGGGTTCACCCCATCTGCCGTTCACCGCACTAAGGAGTGTTATAAAAAAAGGAACTTGATCCAGTTATTTCATCACTGTAATACACTTTCATCATTGTTCACATATCAGAGGGTTCCTAGACTCTCGTGAGTACGTGGACAAGGGCGTTGTTGAATTTGTATTCAATTCTACTTTTCTAATCTGAAATTGGTTTTCGGCTCAGCCGACCGCCCCATACTCTGGTGTCTTTTCACTCTGATGGGTCTGCCGGAGAAGTTTATTTCGCTTTTGCTATTTCTTTATACTAATACCCGTGTCTTGGTATCTCAGCGTTGCGTATTTTACCCGGAGGACTGAAGTTGGCTTAAATGCTTGTTCTATTGGAAACTATTTCGGGCGCTATTGGTTGTCCTTGTTTTGGATGTGTTTTGCTTCAAAGTCATGGGTTCCCCTCCCCCACTATCTATTCTAGAGATTCCAAAGGGCTCGGTCCGGAGGATCGTGCTGTACTGGATAATGTTTGTCGACGAATTTGTAAAGAAAATCAACCATTTGAACGCCTGGAAATGACCAAAGAAAACCTTCTGGAAATGTTTGCCTATAACGAGTTCAAATGTCGCATTATTCGAGAGAAAGTGACCACACCGACGACAACTGTGTATCGTTGTGGTCCGCTGATCGATCTATGTCGTGGACCACACGTGCGGCACACGGGTAAGCATCGACACGAGGTTGCAAATAAGCGTGCATGCGCGTTTTGCTCACGGTTTATGCCCTTGCTTTCAGTCTATTTTTTTAAGCCAGGCGTGAAGTTATCACTACATTTGAGACTTCGCACTGTAATTGAATATTGAAAAAAGTAGGACGAACTCGTTCCCTTCTCATATTTCCCTAATCAGACCTTTTTCACATCTTAATGTTGTAAAGAATTGAACTCTCTAGGTTCAGAGACATCCTGTTCGGGTACCGGCAAACTGGTGGACCTGGAGCAAGTTGAATAAGACATTGTGCTGGATGGAACTGAGGACGGTTAGGCGTTGACAGACGCGGTTCAATTTTCGGACCTTAAGAACTCTGGTTCTCTCCAGTGACAATGTCTTGAACCGCTTGACGAAACTAAGTCTGCGGTCACCGCGCTTGTTGGTCGCGATATTGTAACCTAAATGAATTAGGCCAAATGTCCCCACAAGCGAAAGGATTTATCCATTGTGAAAACTAGACAAACTCAGTCGCTTAGAGAAGCACTTTGATTACTGTGAATTTTCTTAGCAGGCGGGCTGACAGTTCATTTGAACATGTTAATCTTCCCCAGAAACANAACATACATGGCAGATAGAAAGATAATGATTAGTAATAAACGAACGTGCGTAAAGCTAATACTTTAGGTCATCTTTGAAATCCAACTGGACACCCATGAGATAGCAATTCATTGATGGTTATCTTTAAATGAGCCAAAGCAAAACTAGTGATATATGATCACCATTACTGAGCTATCTTACTGGTGAACGACGGTGCCGCACCTCCTGGTGGGCCCTATTGCATTTTGTTACTGCAAGGTCATACTCCCAGCTCACCGGCGGCCCTGACCTCGTGCATGCTGCATTTTTGGGGTTTCAAACTTTGTGCACATGATAGCCCGTATTTGGAAAGGAAATAAGATAGGCAGTTGAACCAACATACGCGTATGGGCATCATTTGGCATCATCAATAAGCACTGAGCTGTTTTGGCAGCTTTCCTAATCATAACTTCTGGCTTTTCAATCGTGTTTTGTAGGCTGTATCAAGTCCATGATGGTGACCAAGAGCAGCGCAGCCTATTGGGAAGGACGTGCGGATGCGGAGACACTGCAGCGTGTATATGGCATTTCGTTCCCGGATCCAAAGCGATTAAAAGAGTGGAAACATTGGCAGGTACGGACGCGATTTCCCCTCGTTTTTCTTCACTCTTAGTGATCGCCTACTTGTGTCACGTTTGGGTGAACCCTCAAACAACTCGTCAGAAGTCGTTGCTCAAGGGCATTGTAAGTAGTGTACCATCTAATAAGTAGCGGATTCCGAGGTCTCATCAACCTTGGGATCTGGGAGCCTTCAACGGGAAGACTTATGGAGGTTGGTGAAGAATCTCGCTTTGCGTATTTGATGGACTCTCTAGGGGCCGATGCTTACTGCTTATCGCGAACGCGAATTGAAGATCTTAGTAATAAAGACATCTTAAATGAACCGGATTTGTCCTCGAGATACTTCTTCCGCACATCAGGAGACAATTACTCTCGCTCACTAGGTCAATACGGAGTGGGTATCGCATTGAGCAGGCTGGAGGGAATCCTTTCACTCTGCCCATTCAGCGAACGGATAACGATGATCGACTACAGTTGTGCGCAGGTCATCAGTTTTTCTTATCTAGCTCCAACTTTCGACGCTACTCTCGACGGTCGTTCACGTTAAATGGGTAAATGGCACTTTTTCACCCGAGTTCACCACGGAAAGTGGTGTTCATCAGGGTTGCCCTCTCTCTCCTTTTCTATTCGACTTTATTATAGATCTGATTATGGAAACAGTCCTATCCTTGTGCGAGAATAGTGGTATCGATTTACTCACAGATGGCAGGTTGTCCGATCTAGAATACGCAGACGACATTGTGTTGCTAAGTGAAGATCCAAGTAAGTTACAAGCTTTTCTGGACAGCTTGAATGTCAATGTAGCCATGTTCGGTATGCGTTTTGCACCTTCAAAGTGCAAAATGTTACTGCACGACTGGGTCGATCCAGCACCAAGCCTCATTCTAACTAGAGAACTAATAGAGCAAGTGGATAAGTTTTGTTATTTGGGCAGCTACATCTCACTTGGTGGACGCATCACAGATGAAGTATCTGCTGTTTTGTTGTTTGGGCAGCTACATCTCACCCGGTGGACGCATCACGAATGAAGTGTCGGCGTATACAAAAGGCTCGATTGGCATTTGCCAACTTGAGACATCTGTGGCGCCGTCGCGACATCTGGTTGTCTGTTATTGGCCGAGTATATGTTGCATCAGTTCGGCCAGTTCTGCTTTACGGCGCAGAAACTTGGCCATTACGAAAACAGGACAAAGATAGACTGTCGGTGTTCGAACACCGCTGTCTAAGCAGCATTGCACGAGTCTGGTGAGGTAACCGGATGTGCAATGCTGAGGTTGGACGAAGAGATTTGGTAAATGCGGTCGCACACTGGAGCAATTGATCGACCTCCATAGACTACGTTGGTTGGGACATATGTTACGCATGTCCCCAGATAGGTTGCCACGGCGAGCGATGTTCGCCGAGGCAAGTAGTGGGTGGAATAAAGCCCAGAGTGGTCTAGCTAAGACCTAACCGGGAGTCTGGGTCACGTAGGTGCCGTTAGGCTCCCTGGCTGGGGACTTCAGGATGATCGGAACCGATGGTTAGAGACACTGAGTGATATGGCTGAGTGTCGTAAACAGTGGTGTGGCTCCATATCAGTGCGCAGGTCTTATTTGGTCCGTTTGCGTTGAGTTTGATCGCGTATTAGTTCTGGTGCACGTCGATTCATCGGCCACCAACAAAAGCCACAGCCTCGGTTAATGATCGTTTTGGAGTGTCTCTGTTCGTTATGAGAACGAGCTTAGGCACGATAAAAAGTCCCTTAAAGTGGTTGAGTAGATTAACAGTGCGGTCAAATCCTTCTTTCAATGTATTCGAAAGCAAACTTTATTTATCTAGCCGAGCCCCGAAGTCCATCAAAGAGTCAGTATGCCTGAAGGAGCAGAAGGGAAAGATCCTGGTTTGTAAGGATTGACACAGAAACAAACGGCGTCCGCAACGTCAACCCTGGAAAACTCTTGAGACGGGTTGTGCCAACTGCTAGACCAAAAGAGCATGCAAAGTAGGAGTAGCCTCTGCCCAAAGAAAGAGATTAATCGAACTGATACGCAACACCGGAGGTCGTTGGTTACCGTTTACGATAAGACTGGATTGGATATCCACCATGAGGAACAGCGGCTTGATAACTGGGCGGAATATTTTAGTGCAAAGTTCCCCGTGGAGATGGTTGACTGATAATCTGAAAGAGAGGAAAATACTGACACCATGAACCAAGTGGCCCAGTGAGACATGAACACGACTCACATTCAAACGGAATGGCAAGATGCCCAGGTCGTTACAACTGTGAGCTAAGCAGCGCTTTCAAAACTAGCAGTGATGTCATTGAAGAGTGCCCTATCTCGCACCACTAAAGAACGTTCTAAATGTTCTCCAAAATGCTTAAATTGAATATGTACGCAGAGAAAAGCTGACGATATGGTCTATCCAATCAAATACACGTAGGACTTCCAAAATGCACTCGGCAGGCTGAAGTGTTCTGTTAACCTATTTGTATGCACTTTACTTCTTCAAAAGGCAGTGGTCCCACAAAACTGGGTATTGTCTACCTAGTTTCGTAGCTTCATGATCAGGTAATAACTCCATTCGGTGGTCTCTCCAGTTTGGGTAGTTATATCAGTAGCAGCTGGTTGTGCGCTCTTCAAAGGGCTGGAGCGGCGTACTCAAGACCAAACCACCGACCAGACCTTTCCTTACAGCTGGTCGAGTCGCGTGTACGATACCATCGTGCGGTCGATTCTCCTTTACGGCTATGAGAGTTTGCACATAAAATACGTATGTTCATCGGAGTTTACGTTCAATTAAATTGATACATGGATGAATTCATTAGTCACGTGCATCTCATATTCAAAGATGGGTTTATACGAACAGATAGAAATCGCTCCCAATAGTCCAGTCAGACTAAAGTTCGCTTTTACATATTGATAACTTCAGTTTTGTGCTATCTTGTCGTATCGCCTAAAACTATACTATGTCTTCTGTCCATATATGTGTACAGGAAGAGGCCGCGAAACGCGATCACCGCAAACTGGGCGTAGAGCAGAAGTTGTTCTTCTTCCACGAATTGTCCCCGGGTAGTTGCTTTTTCCTACCTGCCGGTGCACACATCTACAACACACTGATCGCTTTCATCCGTGCGGAATATTGGCGTCGTGGTTTCCAGGAGGTAATCACTCCGAACATGTTCAATTCAGCTCTGTGGGAGACCAGTGGACACTGGCAACACTACAGTGTAAGTTAGCTTCATTGTATGCAATTGCTGTCGGAGTTCATATCTTATTCTTATCGAAATTGTTCCGCAAAAGCCCTCCCCGCAAGCGAACACTAAAATTCGTCAGCTGTCAAACACGGAAGTTGATAGGGGCTGGAATGAGTCATCAAACTTTCTTATCCCTTTGAAATAACCGTTTTGAGGTGATTGAAGGTAGCAGAAATGATCATCTTCAAAGCGCTAGACGTTTTACACAGCCTAACGAACTTCTCTTCAGAGCAGATGTCTCTTTCAAACACGTCTGAATCGAGGTGACGTGTCAACCAAATCATAGTACAATAAGGAAAAGACGTGTTGTGGGCCAGGTTGCCCAGACCAAGTAGGTGAATTTTCTAGTTGGGAAGTCATAACTGGAGCCTTTAACTAACCAAATTCTAACCCGTAAGGCAGCGGGGCGTTGTGTGAAAACCGCTATCCATTGGGATCCGGTGTCCAGTTCATCGGATCATACGCCCTTTGAACGGAGTGAGACGTCCAAGGTGCTCTATGTACCTCGATGCCCAATCGAGCCAGTGACCGCTGAAACAACCACTAAGGTATGTGTGAGTGTGTGGTTGGTTTCCAAACCATCTAGTGGTTTACCCCCTCGGTTATAGCCCCGGATGTTGAATTTTTTGCTGTCACTTTGATGGGAAAACACGGCCGAGACTATTTGAGACGCTTGGTCGTATGGGATCATTTCGCCAGGTGCAAGGGAAGCGTGACCAGCCACCATCCAAGACACCCATCCTCAAATATACTGATCGATTAATCGAATATTTGGTCCAGATCACTGTTTGGTCATTATGAGGGTCGGTCATCTTCCTGTTTTTCCACTGGTACCGGATACAAGCCTAATTTCGAGATGTTACACATGCATCAAATTGGGAACCTTTAAGGAAAACGGTACGGAGTTCATATCAGGAATGTTTTATAATTTCCACAAAAAAGCACTAACCGTTTGACATTTCCCGTTGTAGCTTGGTCCCTTGTGGTGGTTTTCATTCCTGTCTCTGGTATGCGTTAGGCTGGCTAATGAGGATCGGTGGCAATGTGCGCTGACGGAACAAATCCCGTTCAAATACACGTATCACATGCACAATTTCATGTATTCCCTTGCCTCACTTCGGATATCCAGTTCTTGCGTGGATAATTCACACTATATGCCCAAGTAACAGGATATGAGTACATTGCCATGACGATTGTGGCTGCCCCAGCGGTAGGCCCTTTTCGGCACGGGTAAATTAAGTAGTGGGTCGGAGAAACGGTCGCTCTGCTATTCCGCTACGTGGGCACGTCACCCAATGGGTCAGTGTTTGCATGTGCCCTCGAACGGTTTGGTGTTAGCAACTCCGCTAAGTCCATCGGGCTGGTGCTCACATAGACAGCATTGGAAACTCGTTACCGAATACGTGCATCTCTTGATGCGCACAGTTGGACAGGTGCGAAGGTCAACTGATCATGCTAAACCAGTCTGCAGTGAGACAGAAAATTAAGATACTGGGGTGGGTTTAGGTGTGAAATTTGATCGGCAAACCTGTAACATGATTTTTCACATAACCTTATGGTGAAAAGATCGTGTGTAGCATAGCGGAGGTTGACTCTCAAGGTCGTAATCATTGCTGATTGAGTGGTGTTGCTTACATTTTTCGTATTTTGCAGACACCCAGTTCCTTTTAGGAATTTCATAAAAGCGAGAACAAGCATCATCACAGAAACGGGTTGAATTACACTGTTTCGCGTTGTCTCTTCAGCTGTGTATGTATGTGTGTATTGTGTCACCGAACTCCAACGGGGTTTTCACCAGCTGGTCAACACACGTCAGTGACAAAATTACTGTGATTGGGTGAAACTGGGTCAAATGACAGGGCCTGAGTTGTTTTTCCTGACCAATATAAAGGCATAACAAATGGACCGACTTCCGGAGGCTCACAGATGTTTCGGCGGGTGAATGGGTTTGTGAGTGGTGATTATGTCGATGAGCTATATAATGGCCATGCCAATCCCACCTGTCACTCGCATACACACAATCGTGATGGTAACGTACTCATGATTCATTACTTTTGCATATCGGTTGGGTCCGAGGCTCGTCAATGTGCTCTTCAGGAAGCAGGTAACGGGTCTTCCCAAATTGATATGTCTAAAATGAATTAATGTATTTTTACTTCCTTTCTATTTATTTATTGAATATACAAATGTACAGTCAACATTCGGGAAGGGGGACTGCGGCCATACAAAAACTGCCCGAAAATACAGAAATAGGGAAGACTGGCGGCGGTGAAGCAGTTTGAACCCAGGACTCCCAGGTCACAATTTGGTGACCTAACCAAGAACATATTGAGTTGAAGAGTGTAAATCGGCGTGAAAATTAAACATGTGTACGAGCACTACTGTTCACGACACTTGGTTGAAGAGATTACCCATTCACGATCCGATGGGGACTGCTATCGTGTGACAAGAATAGAAGCATTCGGAAGGTCATGTCGACTAACACGTAAGGGTGGATCATGCAAACACCATATTCTTGTTTATCTACGTACCTGTGCATGTCATCTTGGGCATTGTAAAGATTATGAATAAATACACTGCGACATTGGGACTTTGTTCATTTATCATCCTACTTCCTGCGATTCTCGAATGAAGAGACGAGTTACTAATGCTTGTGCGAAATGCTTTAGGACAAAAAGTCTCATGGATTTATTGAGGCCGGCTGCGTAGGTTGAATTTATTCGGTATTCCGTTTTGGTCGGAGGATGAGCTTCTTTCAATGGACTCTGTGTACTTTCAACATTTACCTTCCCACACCTATCACAACATTTAGAACGGTCGTGTGTTCAGACTGACGACAAACGTGACACGACTTGTCGTAACACAGATCGATAGAGATAGTTGGTCTTTGATCTTAATTTTTGCTGAATGGGCACACCTACGCACTGTCTTGTTGCAGGGGTTCACCGTCTTGTCGAACACGATGCGACTGATCACAGTTACTTACCAATGTCGGAAGTGTTCCAATGAAGTGCTTCCCGAATATTAGCGGAGAAATAGTAACCAATCATGAAGCAGTATGTTGATTAAATAGTAGACACCCAACTTCCTGGATTAAGGGTTCTCTTGTTAGAATAGCAACATCTGTTTGCACCCACGAGGTGGACTGTCTGATCTGGAGTATGCAGACGACATTGTACTGCCAAGTGAAGACCCGGGTAAGTTGCAGGCTTTTCTTCTAGTGTTTAACGCGCGTTTTTTTAAATCTTCATGGAGTAAATTAGTGCTAAAGGACTGGGTTGATCCAGCTCCCAGCCTTGCCTTAACTGGTGAGGTAATCTAGCAAGTGAGCAAAGTGTGTGACTTGGGCAGCTATATCTCATCCGGTAGATGTATGACGGATGCAGTTTAGGCACGCACACAAAAGGTTCCAGCATCTTCGTGACATTTGGCTATCCATGAAGAGTTGATTATATACTATAGCAGTTCGCCAGTGCTGTTATACAGCACAGAGACTTGGCCATTACGGAAACGAGATAAATTGTCTATGTTCAGATGCCGCTATCGACTTCGCCTTGTACGAGTCTGTTGGGACGACTAGACTGACAATGTCTTTTCATGGGATGGAATTGCATATTATGCATTGTTTCTCAGAGGAAGAAAAATCCGTATTGCATACTCCTACTAGAATACAACATACCGTCACTCCATAAACATCACAACCGCTCTAAGTTCACAACACCAAATCATTAACCACCATTTGCCGGTAAATATCGTCACATTTCTGTGGGTAATTCATGTGCTACGGTTGTTGTTTCTCTTCCTCTCGGAACAGGACAATATGTTCAAAATCGATGTGGAAAAACAACAATTCGGGTTGAAACCGATGAACTGTCCTGGACACTGTCTTATGTTTGCCAAAGAAATTCGTTCCCATCGAGATTTGCCACTGCGCTATGCCGATTTCGGTGTGTTGCATCGGAACGAGTTCTCCGGTGCTCTGACGGGTCTGACACGTGTACGACGTTTCCAACAAGATGATGCGCACATTTTCTGTCGTGAAGACCAGGTAAGCCCACACACCCAGTTTCACTGTTCCAATTTGTCTGTCGCTTCGGTTCTTATTCGTTCGCCGAGCTCCGTTGCCATTTTTTGTGCTTATTGAAACCTGAACTTCTTTCAACCTCCCAAAGAAAATCGTAGTAGGGTAACAAAGCATTCGTATCAAATCCAATGAGTGTGTATATAGACGATGCGCAAAGTTATCGATCTTCTCATGCCGTTGTTCTCATTAAATCACATTTATTGTCAAAGCAGGCACCACAGGCTTATCTATCTGGTAATACACCTATTGTTATGGACTCGTGTCAAGGTCACGTGACTGCTGTGAAAGCACCAACGGCAAACAGATCCGGATATAATGAAACAGATAAGACTGAGGTACATCATTGGACAATAAAAATGACGGTTTTTGAATCGGCATCAAATCAAGCAGCCCTGAATGTTGGTCATGGAGTTCATCCTGCGGATCCATTCACACAAAGCTCAGAATAGTGATGCCTTGAATAAAGTAGAACCTCAGTTGGTACCATAACGTGTTATCGGATGACGTTTTTCAGACAGAACTGCTCTTTGTCGGTTATCATAAACGTTTTCATGGCATGTAAATGCATGAAGTTGTGGGGAATTAACGACCTCCCAAGAAGTGAAACCCGCACCCAAGAACATCGAGAGTGTCTGATGCCTCTTAAAAATCGAATGGACTAATCTAAGCTTGCTATTCTAAAAATGGTTGACATTTGTTTTCTACTTGTAGATTAAAAATGAAATAAAAAGCTGTCTGGACTTTCTGCGTTACGTCTATGGCGTGTTTGGCTTCACGTTCGAATTGTACCTGTCAACTCGACCAGAGAAGTTCATGGGTTCAATCGAATTATGGGATCGGGCCGAACAGGTAGGTAGATCTGATCGTGTTGTGCCTTCCTTTACTATATCTCATTTGTATGTCTCTCTGTGATTACGCGAGACCGTTTGACTTTTTAACCTGCTTGCATTCACGTGATCTGGTGACAATTGCCGCAGCCATCGATCAGTGCGAGTATCCAACTGATCAACTGTGATATTTTCGTTCCGTCACAAATCAGTTGAACACATTTGACAAACAATCTCAGGATGTGTAACCGGGTGAATTATCGTTACGTGCAGTAGACATCACACTGCTTTTTTCTATTGTACCATGCTTTCGCAGATTCAACCGTTAACCACTGCTGCTGCTAACTGCTTGCAGCAATCAGTGTATTGCTCTTCAAAAGCGGATTCATAACACGCAGACTTGAACGTATAGTATGGGGATAACAATAATGATGAACGACGCATGGATGGAGAATGGAGACGTGCCACAATTGTCCGACTGTCTGTCTATGTGGGTTATCACCTTCAAATTTGGTGAATTCAGTCACAAAAATGCATCAAAAACGTTTTTCGAGTTTCTACGAACCTCCCAATCCCTCTGTGTTCACTCACCACATCCGCGTAGATGACAAGCCTCGCCTACCAGGCGATTCTCATCTGTTTCTGCATTCTCCCCTTTTCTCGCACTCGACACACGTTCAAGCACGGAATGGATAAACTCGTTCTTAGATGAGTGATTCTGACAATTCTTTGTGCATCCGCAGAGTGAACCCAGGTATCTATTCACTCCTATTCAATGTAAATCACCTTTATCATGTGATGAAGATATTTGAACACTGCTCCGAACTTCAACTGGTATGTATCTTATCGTCGTCCACGTGCACGCAAACACAATCCGTATATTTTAGCGAATAAAAAAAACAGTTAACTAGGTGTGTAACAGACAGCCAACTACATATACATGAAAGGTAGATGCGGTTTAGAGCCAACTCATCAAGCAGTTTATCGGTTACCGGATCTTTGTTCTTTGGTGAGGCACAACACAAAGCCAATTTCTGTACAGGTTCGTTATGGAACAGGTAATTCCATGAAGGGAGTGATTTCCGAGAATCTCCATTCTGAAGATTAATCTCTTGTTTGTTTGTAGTTGAAGAAGAAAAGAAAACGAGCTTCAGACCATCACAGTTGATTGTTTACTGTGCTTGTATCCAGAGCCGACATTTTGCTACTAAGTGAAGCACAGGTAAGTTGTAAGCTTTTCTGGATAGTTAGAGTGCTGGTTGTAGTAAGTAATCTTTGGTATGCGTCTTGCACCTTCAATGTGTAAAATGTTACTACAAGACTGCTACAAGAATACTGAGTAGATGCATGTGCGCCACTGTTTGCGACACCCAGCCATATCGCTAAGTATCTCTAACCATAGGAGACCATGATCTCTGGGTCCCCCGACTGGGAGCCTAAAGGGACCCATATGACTCATTCTTCTGGTCAGGGTTTTTATACCCTCATGCCAGGTCCTAGTATGACCGCCCTTCATTTTTTTCCAACCGCTACCTGCCTCGGCAAGCATCGCTCGCCGTAGTAACCTATCTGGTGACATACGCAGTATTTGTCCCAACTAGTGTAATCTATGAAGGTCGACTACTGGCTCCAGTGGACGACCTCGATTACCTAAAACTCTACATCTAACGTCAGCATTGCTCGTCCGGTTACCCCACCAGACTCGTGCAATGCTACGTAGATAGCGGTTTTCGAACACCGACAATCTATTTTCATCCTGTTCCCGTAATGGTCAAGTCTCTGTGCAGAACTGACCGAACTGTTGCAGCATATACTCGACTCTTTACAGACAAACGGATGTCGCGACGGCGCCACAGATGTCTCAAGTTGGCGAATGCCAACCAAGCTTTTTGTATGTGCCCCAACACTTCATCTGTAATGCGTCCACCAGGTGAGATATGGCTGCCCAGATAGCAAAACGTATCTACTTTTTCTGCCATTTCCCCGGTCAGGGTGAGACTGGGCGCTGGATCAACCCAATCTTATAGTAGCATTTTACACTTTGAAGGTGCAGAGCGCATGCTAAACATGGCAACACTAGCACTCAAACTATCCAGAAAAGCTTGCAACTTACCTGAATCTTCACTTAGTAGCACAATGCGGTCTGCATACTCTAGATCAGACAGTCTGCCACCCGGAAGTAAATCGATACCGCTATCCCTGCACGAGAATAGGACTGTTCCAAGAATTATATCTATGACAAAGTTAAATGGAAATGGAGAGAGAGAGGGCAACCCTGTCGAACACCACTTTTCGTGGTGAACTCGGGTGAAAAAGTGCCGTAAGCTCGAACTCGGCTTCGGCTATTATTGTAGAGGGATTGTAATATTGAAATAAACCTCTCGGGCACACCCTTCAGGGAAACGCAGCGCCAGAGTTTAGAGCGGTCAATTGAGTCGAAAGCCGCTTTCAGGTCGAGGAAGATAGAAATGGTGGGTCTATGAACGGAATGTCTATGTTCTAGAATTTGACGGAGTGTGAAGATGTGGTCAATACAGCCCCGACCAGGTCTGAA